TGAGATGCCAGGGTTGAGCCGAGAGCTAGTGGAGCATCGGTTGCCGATAAAGGCCGGTTTTAGACCTTATAAATAGTCGGCCAGAAAGTTCAATCCGAAAACATATGACCGGATCAAGGAAGAGATCGGTTGACTGCTTGAAGCTAATTTCATTCGACCTTGCAGGTATGCCAAGTGGATTTCTAACATTGTCCCAGTGGAGAAGAAGGGATCCGGCAAGTTGAGGGTGTGCATTGACTTCAGAGATTTGAATAGGGCTACACCCAAAGATGAGTATCCCATGCCAATAGCCGATATGCTTATTAATGATGCTTCTGGACATAAGGTTATTAGCTTTCTAGATGGTAATGCCAGATACAATCAAATTTTTATGGCTGAAGAGGACATGTACAAAACAACTTTCCGATGTCCTGGTTTCCTTGGTTTATTCGAGTGGACAGTGATGACATTTGGATTAACAAATGCTGGAGCCACATATCAAAGGGCTATGAATTTGATTTTTCATGATTTACTCGGTATCATACTTGAAGTTTATATTGATGATATTGTTGTCAAATCGGATGCTTTTGAATCTACTCGGTCGATTTGCGTTTAGCTTTTGAAAGAATGAAAAAGTATGGACTGAAGATGAATCCTTTGAAGTGTGCATTCGGTGTGTCAGCTGGCAAATTTTTGGGTTTCATTATTCATGAAGATGGCATCAAAATTGATCCCAAAAAGATAGAGGCCATACAGAAAGTGGAGGCTCCAACATGCAAGAGAGATATGCAAAAGTTCCTTGGCAAGGTCAATTATTTGAGAAGGTTCATAGCTAATCTGTCAGGGAAAGTTGATGCATTTACTCATATCCTTCGGTTAAAGAATGATGTTGATTTCACTTGGGGTGCAAAACAGCAAGAAGCCTTTGATATGATCAAGAATTATTTGTGCACTCCTCCAGTGATGAAAGCACCCAAGCATAGAGAGCCTTTTAAGCTTTATATCGCAGCAGAGGAAGGTGTTATCGGTGCTGTTTTGACTCAAGATACCGAAGGAAAAGAGCATGCCATTACTTATTTGAGCAGACGCTTATTAGACGCCGAGACAAGGTATACATTTATTGAAAAACTATGTCTATGCTTATATTATGCTTGCACAAAATTGAGACATTACCTAGTGTCGAGTGCTTGTGTAGTAGCTTGTCAAACCGATGTCATTAAGTACATGTTGCATAGGCCAATTCTTAGTGGTAGAATTGGCAAGTGGGCTTATGCTTTGATTGAATATGATTTGGCTTATGAATCTCTAAAATCCATGAAAGGCCAAATTGTTGCTAATTTCATTGTTGAACATCGGATTAATGACAAGCATGATGTTGATATGAACCTTGTTTCATTAGTGCCATGAAGATTATACTTTGATGGTTCAGTTTGTAGCAATGGCCAAGGTGTTGGTATTGTTTATATATCTCCTCATGGTGCTGTTTTTGAAGCCTCATGCGGCTTAGAATATTTTTGCACAAACAATCAAGCCGAATATGAAGCATTGTTATTCGGTTTAGAGATATTACTTGCTATAGGTGTTACACATATTGAGGCTTACGGTGATTCGTTACTAGTGGTGCAGCAAATATCCAGAGTCTTTCAGTGTTTGGACGAATCACTTAATGTTTATCTTGATAAATGTCTAGATATAATTTCTACTTTTGATTGTTTTAGCATTGCACATATATCTAGACATGACAACTGGAAAGCAAATGAGTTGGCACAGCAAGCATCTGGATATCATGTTGATCATGGCATGTTTCATATCTCTCAAAGACCGATGTCTTGTCTTGCCAATATGGGAGAGGCCGAACCTGAGCCCACTGATTTGGCCATTAACAAAAAATCTAGTGCGGGTGATAATTCCGACTGGAGAAAGCCCATTGTTGATTACTTGTGCAATCCGAGTGAAAGGGTGGACAGGGCTGTTCGGCGTATGTCTTTCAAGTATACAATGAGAGATGATGGTCTTTATCGCCGAACAGTCGATGATGTTCTTCTAAAGTGTTTGGATGAGGACCAGGCAAGAGTTGCTATGGGGGAAGTACATGAAGGTATTTGTGGCACTCACCAGTCGGCTCCCAAGATGAAATGGTTATTGCGACGTGCTGGGTTTTATTGACTGACTATGATTAACGATTGCTTCAGATATTATAAAGGGTGTGAAGCTTGTCAAAAGTTTGGTGATATTCAATTGGCTCCTGCTGCTATGTTACATCCTATTATCAAACCGTGGCCTTTCAGAGGTTGGGGTTTAGATTTCATTGGACAAATCCACCCATCTTCCTCAAAAGGGCATCGGTTCGTGTTGGTGGCAACTGATTATTTCACTAAATGGTCTGAAGCAGTACCTCTCAAGAACATGACACACACGGAGGTAATTCAATTCATAACCGAACACATTATTCATAGATTCGGTATTCCTCAAACGTTAACTACAGATCAAGGTTCATCTTTTATGTCACACCAAGTCAGAGAGTTTGCCGAATCTTATAATATAAAGTTGCTCAATTCATCTCCGTATTATGCCCAAGCTAATGGACAAGCCGAGTCTAGCAATAAAATTTTAATCAAGCTCATCAAGAAGAAGATTGAGGATAATCCGAGGAGATGGCATGAGTTGTTGTCCGAAGCTTTATGGGCACATAGAATTTCAAGGCATGGTGCTACGAAGGTAACTCCATATGAGCTGGTATATGGTCAAGAGGCCGTTTTACCAGTAAAAGTAAATTTGAATGCTTTGAGAATAGCCAAACAAAATGACTTATCGGCATTAGACTTCTATAACTTGATGATGGACAATATTGATGAAGTTGCCGATAAACGTTTGGTTGCTTTGAAGTCCATAGAAAGAGACAAGTTGAGGGTTGCAAGAGCTTACAATAAGAAAGTTAAGTTGAAGAATTTTCAAGTTGGTGATCTCGTTTGGAAAGTGATTCTGCCGATTGGTTCAAAAGATAGAAAATTCGGGAAGTGGTCTCCAAGATGGGAAGGTCCTTTTAGGATTACAAGAATTGTTCCCGGAAATTCATATTTGGTGGAATCAATACAAGGGGCATTGTTACCCCGAGCTCTCAACGGAAAATATTTGAAGAAGTACCACCCAAGTGTGTGGCAAGAAGCCTAAGTAGGCAATGGCCCATATATAATTATTTCCCTAAGAAAATAAATGGCCGATGGAGTGTTGACATCGTCCTTAGAACAAACACCGTGCATATTATTTTTCGGCGTGCAATCTTTGCCGAAAAACAGGGGGGCATGTGTTGACATCAGATTTTGGCACAGTGTAAAAGAAGATGAGATGGCTTCGAGTGAAAGGGTTTTCAGCATGAAAAGTTTCACATCACCGAGTGGAACAACTTTGATGTTTAGGTTATCATCGTCCGACTCCATCTTAGGGGCCGAAATTGTATTCGGAGTGACAGAATTCAATATTCCGAGTGGTTTTCGGCCGATCGTGCCTTCAAGACGACCTCGGATGAAGGAGTATTATAAAGGAATTGTCTTCGTCTCGTCGAGGCGATTGATTTTGATATATAAATCATCTCAATCCGAGTTCATATGCAAAAGTTAGAGGCAATACACTGCAGACCGAAGCAGAATGGAAATATGGCGCGAAGTACCAGACACCCTCTATGATGGGTTGCGCGAGCAATTCGGTCCTTAAGAAATCCTTGAATCGGAAAAACTTCAACACGAGAAAGTTTCGTCTCGTCGAGCCGATCGATTTTCATATATAATTCGTCTCAATCCGAAGTCGTATGAGACCTGGGGAGACAAATCAAGATCAGGCTATGTTTTTGGTCGAGTGAAAACCTACCGATCGAGTAAAAGGTCAAGTGAAAACTTACCGATCGAGTAAAAGGTCGAGTGAAAACCTACCGATCGAGTAAAAGGTCGAGTGAAACCCTACCGATCGAGTAAAAGTTCGTGAAAACCTACCGATCGAGTAAAAGGTCGAGTGAAAACCTAACGATCAAGTAAAAGGTCGAGTGAAAACTTATCGATCGAGTAAAAGTTTGTCTTCCGAGTGAAAATATAGTCATCCGAGTGAAAGATTGTTTTCCGAGTGAAAAGGTCGAGTCGGATGGTCCGAGTGGAAGTCTCTAATGTCCGAGTGGATGAGCTCGGATCCAAGTGAAATTGAACATGTGCCCGAAAGTTTATCAAGATGACATCGGATGAAGAAGTGTTCAATACAGAAGTTGTGCGTATCATCAAGACGGTAAACTTTGGTTTTGGAGTCATCATCATCAGAGATAGTATATGGCCTGCAAATTCACTATAAGACTCGGATAATTCAGTCTACTGCAAGACCGAGTCCGACTGGAAGGTAAAGACGACCTCGAAAAGTATTCAAGATGGCCTTATTTGAAAAAGTGATCAACATGAGAGTTGTTCTTATCGTCGAGGCGCACAAGTTTGATATTTGGGCCATCTCGATCGGAGGTCATATGGAGGCTCGGCGGCCTGCACAAGGAGAAAGACAGAAGTTGAGACAGATTCAGACTGAATCCGAATTGGAATAGAACTAGGACTCTAGGACGCGAATTGATGTAATTTTTCTTGTAAGGAAAGCCTAGATGAATCTTTTACTTTTACGGGAAGTCCAGCCGCCTCTTATATATGTTGGGGGTGACGGCCGATTGAACACACACAATCGAACAAATCAATATACCACTTTTCCTGTCTACGTTTTATCTCTTCATCGTTTTTCTCTCTCGTTCTTAGCTGTTCTTCGTGTTTTGAGAGCTGCGAATCCCGAGGCTCTAGGGGCGAGCGAATCGACCTAGGGCAGCCCATAGCCGCCGCACTGCCTGACGGGGTCCCTCCCGGGGGTGTGGGGTTTTCGGGTCTGCAAAAGCATCCGTCGACTGTCTTGCGTATCGCGCTGTCGGTCGGGTCTCCTTCGACGTGAGCTGCGGTGCATCACCCCCGGCGTCGAGGGTACACGTGATGTGTTCGTGTGTCAACACGGTCGGGCGTCACGCACTGGGTGATGAGCCGCGCCCCTGGCTTGTGCGCCCACGGCTTTACCAGAATGCACGTCGCGATGTAGTCCAGGTTCGTCAGGGGCACGACGTGTGCCGGCGGGCCCCAGCCATAGTCGACCTCGGCGAACCCGAGGCGCGTCCAGTCTGACACCAGCAGCGTGCGGTAGTCCGACGTGATCTGGTACGGGTCCTCGCCGCCGTCGGCGCCGGCCTCCCCGGTTGCCCACCGCGCGAACTCCGACGGCATCCGCCTCTTCCCGTCCTTGATGATCTTCACCACGTCCGGGATCGAGGAGCCGGACACCTTGCCGGCGGGCGCCGAGACGCGCATGATGTAGTAGCAGTTGCCGTAGAACCCGGCGCCCGGGAGCGAGGCGTGCAGGAGGGGCCGAGCGTTCATGGCGAAGCAGAGGTGGACGGTGGACTCCGGCTCGAACCCCGCCGCGCGGGTGCGGCTCTGCCACGCCTTGGCCACCAGAACCTCGAACGCCGAGCACCACGATCCGGCGTGCTCCGAGTTGTACTGAGACTTGAAGTGGTTGATATAGTCCGCGGAGATGTCCATGGCGAGGTACTCGAGACTCTTGGCGCCCGCGGGGCTCGGCAGGCTGCCGATAACGGCGACGGCCGGGTCAGGGATCGCCTCGCGGCCCCACTGCGGCTCCACTGCAAGCCCATCCACGCTGCTGCGGCCGCGGGCGAGCTCCCCGACGGCGGCCATGAACTGCGCGGCGCCGGGGCCGTCGGAAACGGCGTGGCTGAAGCGGAAGCCGACGACGAAGCCGCCACAGGCGAATGTGGTAACCTGGACGAGCAGGACGAGCTTGCGCTCGTACTCCTCCTGGGCGGGCGTGGGCGGGAGCAGCTCGTCCTTGGCGATCATCATGGGGTGCTCCAGGTACTCCACGTCCTCGAGCGCGCAGGCGGCCGCGGCCTCCGTGAACCAGACGCCACTGCCGTCGCTGCCGCAGTCGACCTGCAGCAGCCCACCTTCCTCCGTGAACCCCAGGCGCCCGGCTAGCGGGTAGTAGTGGACAAGAGCTTGCGCCAGAGCCCGTTCGATGGTCCTCGCCGGGCCCGTCGTCCTCGCCGTCAACATGCCGGTCAAGAGCCGGCTTGAACACGTGCAGCGACTCGATGAGCGCCATCTGGGTGGGGTAGCGGTCGAGCCAGGACAGGCGGAGCGGGCCGACCAGCGTGGGCTCGGACGGGGCCACCAGGCGCTGCGCCAGCCGCTCGACGGACTTGTTCACGGCCGCCATTGCAACGAAGCCGCAAGAGCTGAATGGAGCTGGCGGGAGAGGAAGAACTGATCGGTGGGTTGCTTGACTTGGCATCGAAGGGGAGCGCGTGTTATTTATAGGGCGTGGTGGAGTTAACGTCCGGCGATGTGGCTCTTGGTAGTGACGAGGATGAGAGTCGGATGGAAGCTGACCGAGGCTTCTTCTGCTTGCGCTGCTCTGCTCGGGGGACGGGGGCGAGGTGAAGGTCGGTCCTACGTCGAGCCGTCGGGGTCAAAAGGTGGTGGAGCGCCGCTTTCATAGCTCTATCCAGTTGCAACCAAGAGCTGAATTCGACTACACAGGGGCACACCACAGCAGCTCATCTAGTAGAAATTGGCAATGGCTCCTATATGCATATGCACCCTTGCTATTAATTACATGCCCTAGTACTAACAACTCCAAAATTGTCAAGGAAAAGGTACGTCCATCTTCCATGGGGAAGGCGCGTGTTCCCTCTAGCCTCTAGGTACAAAGTAATACAGCCCCGCGAGGCACGAAAGCTACCGACCAGGTCCATGGACTGACTTCGTGCAAGGGTTAGGCGTGTTGATGCACTCGATCGGGACAAGCGACTGACCGGTGCAGTTGGTGGCAAAAGCACCAGTGCTGCTGGTTAGTGTTCTTGGATGTAATCCTTTTTTATTGATCCTTAACGTCTAAGGTTTGCACTGCAACCATACGAGAATTTGTTTTACAGTCTCTGTTTATGACGATGCACATAATAACAAGTAAAAATGTTAAAAAGTTTAAATCGATAAAATCTACATGGTCTCGACACAATGCGCATGTTAAAATACTCCCTCTGCTAAAAATATAAGATGTTTTGGCTATTTAAATATGAACTATATACAGGCTGAATTGAGACACAAACGCACTAGAACATGTCTGTATCTACTCTGCCAGCTGTCATGGCGATGGACTGACTCAGGGATCTACTCTGCCAGCTCCTCCTATCAAGCACTTTTCGCCGGCTCCATCACCGACCCGCATTGGCGCATCACTTGGAGATCATGGGCTCCGCTCCGCATCAAGTTCTTCGTCTGGCTTGCTCTGATGGGCAGGTGTTGGACTGCCGACCGCCTGGCACGTCATGGCCTTTCCCACGAGCCTCGCTGCCTCCTATGCGACCAAGAGCCGAAATCCATGCAGCATCTCCTGACGGGCTGCTCCTTCTCCCGCCAAATCTGGCACGAGGTGCTCTCATGGTGCCGATGCACCACCGCGATCCCAGCACACGACGACGAGTTCGCCAGCTGGCTCTCTACGGCCATCTCCAACACCTCGGCTACTCTTCGCCGCGGTCCATTGTCGTCCTCACCGCATGGCACCTATGGAAACACCAGAACGGCTGTCTTTTCGACAGTGACCAGCCAGCCATGGGACGTGCAGTGCATATGATCCAGGAGGAGGCGCGGCTCTGGACGCGCGCCGGCACTAAGGGCATGGCCCTCATCTTGCCTGAGACGTAGGCTAGGACAGATCGGGCAGCACACCCCGTCGTCTGTGTGCCAAGGCTACCGATGCTTGCCATCATTGCGTACAAGCTAGTTAGCCTCTCCTTCATCTTGTAAGACTTCCATGTATCGCTACTCTATCTATCAATGCAAAGATACGCAAGGCTTTTGATGTCTGTATCTTATATTTGTGAACGAAGAGAGAAGCATCTAAGTCGTAGCTTACGTAATGGTTGAACGACTCTCCTTGCTCAGCCTCTCTATTTACACACATGTGTAAGCGACATGCTTGTTGAAGGATATAGAGACAATTGTCTACACAAGTAGTATATAACTACGCAAGATGAAAAAACATGAAAAGACTCCTCTCCCGCGACCGCGCCCAGCCTTCTCCCCCGCGCGCCTCTCCCTCCCCCTTCCTCTCTGTCGCCGTCGCCGGCGCCCGCTGCGGGCCTGGCCCGGCCGACGCTGGTGGCGGCGGCCCCCTGGCTTTTCCCCTCTCGGGTGTCCGCCGGCGCGGGACGGGGCGACCCCGGGCGGTGCTTCTAGGCGGCGGCGGTCCAGCGCGACGGCAAGGGCTCCTGGCGCGAGAGGGGCGGATTTCTGGACGGCGGCGGCGCCGTTGGCAGCGGGGCGACGTGGCGGTGCGGTCTGGCGGCGCCCGCTCGGCCCAGATCTGGGCCCTTCAGGCCCCATCTGGGCCTGGGCGGGCCGGCGGCGGGGTGGGTCTGCTTCGTCGCTTCCGGGAGGCGGGGGAGAGGCGATGAGCGGCAGGGTGCTGGCGGCGCCATCGCCGGCTTGCTGCAGCGTGGCGGTGGGCTTAGCGGGCCCGTTTTGGGCCTGGCGGGCCAGGGGTGGCCTGGCATGCCCTGCTGCCGCTTCCGGACGGCTACCGCGACGGTGCCGGAGGCTGGCCTCCCGCACGACAGCGGTGGAGGTGGTTCCCTCCCGTTCGGCTTCGGTGCTGCTTCTCCCTCCGCGAGGCGCTTCTCTCTGGTCCTCTTGGCCTCGTGTTGGTGTTCGCAGTGAGGCGGCGTGGGTGACGGCGCAACCGCGATGGCGCATGGTGGTGGGCGGCGGTCTGGCTAGTCGGCTCCGGTCCGTTGGGCGGTGGGGATTGGAGTACGGGAGAAATCCTTACCGGTCTTCGGCCCCGATGCAGTGACACCTGCGGGTGCCACCATTCCTTCCTGGAGGATGTCGGTGATATCCATCCCCCACCTCCCTCCGCGTGCCGGGGAAACCCTAGGACATGTCCGAGCAGCAGCGTCGTCGGCGTCGCTTTCCTTCTTGGAGGTGTTGTTTTGTACGCGGTGGTCCGGAGCCTCGGGTTGTAGTGGTTTGTCTCTGGTGGGCGTAGCGGTGGCGGGTCATCCGCGCTCTATCGAGCTGCCGTTGTTGGCATTTGCTTCTTCTTCTTTTAATTTTGGGCTTGTTGTGCTGTTCACCCCAGCGATCCTGTATCGGTGTTGGTTGCTTTGGAATACAAAGCGGGGGAACCCTTTTTCGATAAAGACTTCACAAATAATACATTTTTTTTCACACAGCCCTAATATCTAACGTTGAGCAGCTGCCCCATCCAGAATTTGTGGCCTTGTAATCAATTCAATCATACTAAAAGTAAACTACAAGAAAGATGATGAGAATAGAGCGTACAGAGGGAGCTAATTGGCACTAGAAGACCTAATGCCCAAAATTGCTTCTTACTGGAATATTAATATGCATTAGTGTTAAACACAATGGTTTTATCGGTCACTGCGGTGTACATTCTACCAATTTCTTGGCTATTATATTAACTTTGTTGTTAGTAATGAAAGAGATTTTATCTATCTAATTCCCGTCTAAGTGAGACACTTTTCTCAAAGTTATACCTATGCCGCCATGCCATGTGTATTAGAGTACACTTAATGTGAAATAAGCTTGGATACTCGTCTCAGCTGGTTTGTTGCCCAACCATTTGTTTTCCCAATGTATAGTTTAGGTGCAGGGTCATTTTGATGTAATGTATCAAAGTCAAAGGAATAATATATTGTTTCCTTTCGTTA